AATGAGGGCAAGATTCTATCTCACCACTTTGGGCATCCCAGCCCTCCTGGGAGGCAGGCAAGCCTGTGCTGGCAGAACCTCCTCGGAGCAGGAGACAGAAGAGGTCCCACGTCAGGGCAAGGACAAAGTCAACCTCACCTCCATCATCATCCCAACCCGCTTCCTTTTCTTATCTCATCGGATCCTCAAGAGAGCCTCATGGATAACGGTAGGCAGAGGTGGTCCTCCCCATTTCACGGATAGGGAAACTGAAACTCATGATGTGGGAGGGACTTGCTATTAAGTTGCAAACACAACTCAGATCTTCTGGATCCAAGCTTGGTCCACTCCTCACTGCCATACACTGCCTCTCCCAGGGGCCTTGTAAGGAGGCGTGAATGGGGCAGATCTCCTGGCTCATGGCTCTGTTATAGCGCCGATCACAGGTGCTTCTCTCATCCCTTATCTCAGCAAATTTTCACTACCACCCAGTAAATAAATATTATCAACTCTGTTTTATAGACCATCTGGATCCAAGCTTGGTCCACTCCTCACTGCCACACACTGCCTCTCCCAGGGGCCTTGTAAGGAGGCGTGAATGGGGCAGATCTCCTGGCTCATGGCTCTGTTATAGCGCTGATCACAGGTGCTTCTCTCATACCTTATCTCAGCAAATTTTCACTACCACCCAGTAAATAAATATTATCAACTCTGTTTTATAGATGAAGAAAGTAAGGTTTAAAGTTCAACAGACATATATCCAAGGACACGCAGCTAGGAGGTGGTCAGAATTTACCCCCAGTCACTCTGACTCAAAGCCCAGACTCTTCCTGCTACACTACATTGCCTTTATTGTGCTGTTCTCCATGTGGACAGGGCTGAGATTTTTCACGTGATGCCTGGCCCCCAGCAGGCTCTAGTTAAATGTTGGTTCATGGAATTATTATTCCCAAGACCAAAGCCTTAAAGGAATAGAGAAGGCTAGTTCATAGATAGAGATTACAATCCAACCAGAACATATAATAATCATGAAATTTCATGCTACTAACAATGTAACTTCAAAGGATATAAAGCAAAACTGATTTGGGTGGGGAGGGAATGGAAGAATTAACGAACCCACGATCCAAGTGGATTTAATACACCTCTATCAGAAATGAACGGAATAAGCAAAGCAGGGATTCTTAAACTTTTTGGTCTCGGGACCGCTTTGTACTTTTAACAGTTATTGAGGTTTTTAGATTAAACAGCTTTTGTTTACATGGGTATATATCTATCAATATTTACCATGTTTGAAAGAAAAGCTGAGGAAATGTATTCATTTAAAACAACAATAATAAATTAATTATATGTTAACATAACAAATTTTGTGTACAATAATATTTTACAAAACAAAAAAATTAGTGAGAAGATTGGCATTGTCTTACATTTTTGCAAATCTCCTTAACAGAAGACAGATTTTCCTATCTCCTACATTGAATGTGTTGCTACATGTTGTTTTGGTTGAAGTATATGAAAAAAAATTTGGCCTCACATAGAAATGTTGTTGGAAAAGACAGTATTTAAATAGGCTTTTCAGATATTGTGGATATTCTTCTTTGATACTATCAAAAAATTGACACGTGGCAGTTCCTTAAATGCTGGTTGTAATACAGAATCCGAATCCACATCAATAAACTTTTCTTACTCAATTACCTTAAAATCCATTGGTCTATCTTGTACTTTAAGTGGATTTTTGAATTATGTACAGTTTTGACTTTATAGACTACCTAAAAGAGACTTGGGGACCCTCAGGGGAATCCTGACCACACTTAGAAAACTATTGAGGTAGGCAATAAAAAAGTAAGAAAATGTAGGACTTGATAACATATTTAACAAGTTTGATCTAATAGGTATCTACATAGGACTTTGCTCACAACAAACCCCAAATAAACATTCTTCTAAAAAATGGTCCCTTCCATCAGCTGGGAGAACTGTGTGCTTGGACAAACTGCAGATGCTCCCAGATGGACAGGTGCCCAGCACGCCAGGTGTTCCACCCAGCTGCCTAGGCCCTGGAACAGCCTCATCGGGAAGGGGCAGTACATTAAAGTGCAGCCTCTTCCTTTCTCGGGACCACCACGGTGGCCTTCGGGGCAAGAACCCAGCAGCTTCCTGGCGGTTGGGTACCCAAATGGCCTGGTCTCACAGAGAGACCTTCCCTAAATGACTGCCCCAGGGCGCAGCCCACCACCTGGGCATCATTCCTGTGAAGGGATTCCCTTCTCAATCTCATCATGGGTTCCATGTCTGGGAGCCTCAGGGGTCCTCAAGGCAGAGCTGCCAGGTAAAGACTGACCACCCTCCTCTTCCAGACTTCCAGCCAGGCCCCTCTGCCCCTCAGAGCCCCTGGAACTGCCAGGTACAGACTCACCCAGCACCTCAGACCATGTGCATGCAGTTCTTACATAACCAGCAACAAGAACAATGCCTTGCTCTGTCCAGGCCAGGCACTAGAACTCCAAGAACAGCACAGGCGACCAGCTACCCAGAGAGCCAGCACCTTGTTCAGCCACCTGGAGCTCCAACACTCCCCCCTCACTAGTACCCAAGGCCACACTTCCCCTGGAGTGCAGAAGCCCCGCCAAGCCTGGAGAGGGGCTGAGGGGTGAGCTGGAGTGCAGAGAGCAGAATTGCTGCTTAGAGTGCCAAACAGGAGCCAGGGCTAAGGTGTCTGAGGGAGCTTTCAGAACATACACCACATTTTTACCCTAAAGTCACACAACCCTTGGAGAGCTAACATTCCTAGGTGCCTATTGTGTGCTGGCGCTGTGCAGGGGGCTCTTTTTCTATGCATCATTTTGTTTGCCCCTCACAATAATTGCTGAGGTTTCAGTTTATAAACAAGGAAATGGAGGGTCAGAATGGCTAAGTACTTGCCCAAGGTCACTCAGTGAGTATGCACTTGGATATAAACCTGGCTCCTTCTGTCTGCAGCGTCCAGGCTCTTGCACCATTACTACACTACACAATCTGACACTGTGTGGACGGGTCCTTTGCCTCCTGAGTGGTCATCTGCAGAACCTCTTCATGCTGGGGGCTGGGGGAGAAAAAAGGGGGAGCAAAGGCCCTCAGCTTGTGCTACCTGGACCCGATTCAGTCATCCTGGAAGATATTCTGTCCCACCCCCGGGTTACGCCTGCTGAATTTCCTTCTGCTTGTGCCTTGTGTCTTCTTCTCACAACCAGATCAGATGAAGCAGAGCCTATGTGTTTTGCATTCCTATATCGCCGTCTATATGCGAGAGCATTCCATCCGTGGCGAATAGTAAGAGGAGTGGTCCTTCACCTCTCTCCACTACCACTGCAAGGACAGGTCCACGGAAAGCCAGGAGCCTTGGAAACATTCAGGAGGGTGGGGCGGGGTGGTAAGGGCAGGATTGAGGGGAGGAAGTGCCCCAGCCCTCCTGCTTCCCAGCAGAACCAGCCCCCAGAGCACCCCAAGCCCTCCTATAAAACCCCGCCCACCCACCCCCCCACCCCCAGGATACCCTCCCAAGCAAAAGCTGAGATGGAAGTCAAGTCTTAGGCTAGACTCTCAAGAAGGAGCCACCCCACCCCCAAACCTCCCATCCAAAGCTCCTCCTGTGGGGAAGCCAATGGAAGGCAGGACACAGACAGAAGGAAAAGACCTCAAACAAGGGGCTCCAGAAGCCGCCTCCTCTCTGATGCCTCCTGGATATCCTTCCTTCTTCCTCCCAGCTACCAGAGGAGGTACCCTCTCCTCCAGCTGCATTTCTCACCCTGGGTTGGGATTTATCTTAGGGCGGAGTGGTTAAGCCCTGGCCTTTGTAGTCCAACACCTATCTTGCTCTCTCACCTATCAGCTATGTGACCAAGGGCCAGTTACTTCCCGGCTCCGAGCCCCCTATAGCCCTTAAGTGTGCAGACTCGGAATCCGCACCTCGTGGTTGGATCTGGGCTCCAGCTCTGGAACCAGACGAACCTGGGTTCAAGTTCTGGCACCGATGCTTACTTAATCTCTCTTAATCCCGTTTGGTACTTGTATCTGTAAAGTGGGGGATATTAATAGTATCTACCCACGTTTTAGCATCACTGTGTGAATTAAATGAGATAATTTATGCAATGTGATTAGAACAGACTTGGCACACAGTAAAGACCCCATAAGTATTATCTCTCATTAGAAACAGTAGTCGATAAGGTTGTAAAGTGCTGTGCAGTGTCTCTGGCACTTAGGAAGAACTCACTAAATCGTAGTGACGGTTATCTTCCTCCCCAGTAGGTTATGATGTCCCTGGTGGTGGGTTCAGGGTTGCATCCATCTCTGACTGCCCAGCACCAAGCAGGGGCTCAAAAACTGAGGACCGAGGGGTGAAGAACCCGCCAGAACCAGGAGAGTGTGGACAGCCGAGAGCCTCCTGCCAGGCGAAGGGAGAACCGAGGTGTCAGGGAAGAGAAAACAGAGGTGGAGGAAAGGCCGAGACGGACAGATAAGTAAGCGAAGTGAGTAAGAAAAGGAACAGGAGAGGCTGTGGCGAAGAGAGATAAGGAGGCCGGGATGGAGAAGACGAGGGGCGAGGAAAACGCCGGGAGAGGTGAAGGAGCCGCGGGGAGAGGCGCGAGGCGAGACTGGGGCCGTGGCAGGGACCCGGTGATCGGGAAACGAGCGCACCAGTCGGCGCCGAGCAGTAGGTGCTGGAGCCGGGTGGGAGGGACCAAGGGGGTCCCACCCTGCCTCCCTGATACCTTAGGGCGGGAGGCCGGGAGGCTGGAGATTGGCTGGGGCGTGCGGCGAGGCGGAGGCTGAAGTCCCGAGGTGGGAGGTGCCAGGATTACTCGGTGCGCCCGGGAGCCGAGCGAAGGCTGCCCACCTACCTCCTAGGGCGACCTCGGCGGCGGGAACACGCGGGGCAGCTGGGGGCGCCGCGGCCC